ATTCCAAGAAATCAGCCTGATTGTATGCATGAGTCTTACATGTCAGCTAAGTCAGCACATTTGAGTATCAGGAATTGACTACAAAAGATGCTTTTATGCCAAGGAATGTGTGAGTCCACCTGTGTTAGCAATGCAGCGTTCCAGCAATCATACACCTTAGTGTCGACGGCTGTCTTGCCGCCTGGATTTTTAAAGAGTTGCAGTGATACCCACCTTAGGCCCGTAAGGGGGGGTGCCCCTTCAACAACGGGGTAGGTGATTCATCAAGAATCGAGAAACAAAGAATGTCGGTACTTCCATTGTCATTTGTTGGAGTCAGTCAAACCTATTTCATAGTTGGATATAGTCGCAATTTGTATGCAGGTCATAGCGATTTTCGGGTTTCCGCCAAAACCGATTCAAAAGTGGGCTCAACATGTGTCTCATAATGCGGAATGAAAAGTGTACTCTCCGATGGGAGGGCAGCCATCAGTTGCAAATCCCCATCCACTACCAAAAACACCAAGGGAATTACTACCCAGGGCTGTCCTTCAGCAATTGCTTCCTAAATAGAACCCGAATGCACGTCAGCTCTCGGACGCTCCTGTAGTTCGCGGTCGTCTTCGTCGAGTGAGGGTTCTACTTCAGTGAAGGGCATGTCGTCCTCTGCCATATCTGCCCAAGCAACAATCCTATCATGAGTTTTTCGATTGTGAAATTGTCCCTGATATGGCTTGCAGCCCATTGTTTTCGGTCCTCCTTAAAGGATTTTTTCGCGGTGCAACGATTCCTTCTGCTGCCGCATACCTATTTTCGGTCCTACCGTTGACTACTGTAGATTGACAGGAGCAGAAGTCCCAGTCTGAGAAGTTCCTTATGTATCCCTCGTTGTTGTTACTATTGTAGAGGTAACAAACCCTGCAGCAACCAGGGCGCTCCCAAAGGCAGCCCTCGCCGAATCCTGTGCAGGACTCGATGGGACAAGCAAGGAGCCTGTGAAGGGTAGGGTTCCTTGAGGCGCTGGAGCGTGAGTATCATTCAGCGGTGCCGAGGTGGTCAGATCCTCTGATGCCCAGGGCAAGGCAGAGCCGGGGGATTGGGTCTTAGCAAGTCCCGATGACGAAGAGGTATTTGGGGATTGGGTCGCGATCGGTCCCGACGACGAGGGAACAGTCGTCGAAGAGCCAGGTCGTTCAGTTTCTCTTTTTTGGCATGCCGCTTCTCCTGTCTTGTGACCATACCACCGACAATCATGACACCACGGTGTATCTTGAGTGACCAGTTCCACGTTATGCCAACCCTGCGGGGAACGAAATTTGAGAAACTTGGTCACCTTCGACTTTGCCTCCGGGTGAAGATCAAATCGATGATTAACTAGACTGGGCGCTGGTTGATTTTGCTCCGGAGGATAGGCTTTCTGTACCTCGCCATATTCCCTTATCATGACATCTTCCAGGAAAGGCATGGCCAGGAAAGGAACCCTCACGACCCGGATCCAAAATCTCTGGGACTGGAGGTCTTTCCTGGCCTTGGCCTGCTCCACTGGAGTCGCGCATGGTTTGTAGAGCACTTTGCATGGTTTCCCTCCCACTATCGTTTTTTCCTCTTATGGCAATATGTGTATTAACCACTCCTGTAGTATATGGTTGACTGCAAGATAAGAGATCATGTTAGCTCCCTCCGATTGTATTCGCCCTTTTTGGCCTCGGACCGTGGTCAAGTCCCATCCCGATTCTATTGATCTCATCCATTTTATTTTTTTTGGCAAAAGGAACCCCTGCTTCCAATCCCTGAAATACTACCAATACTCCATGCGTACGCAAATAGTCAACAATAACTTCAACTGTCGTGGGGTGTATGTCTTCTATATCAGTGTCGTTCAGGTCGTCTCTGGTCGTTGTGATATAACTATCCGCTTTATCGGGATCTTCTTGACCAGTGATAAAGCAGTTACGAACCATGTCGCGCAACTGTTCATGTTGTCGATCCATTGCCCCCTATGTGTGCAGATCCTAAGTTCCCCAAGAAGGGTGGCAGCAACCACCACCACAAGTTTTGCAAGGGACCTACCCACAGCCGGTATAAGAAGCTCTCCCGAAACAACTACCCTAACAATCTCTCCTGTTCGGCAAAACAAGGTTCCGTTAATCAAGGTCTCAATCGTTCGTTGTGGGGAGATCATCAAACACTGGGTTCCAATCGTCCTTTACTCAAGGATCGTTTAATTCGGTTACCATGCCCGTCTAACATAGCAGCAATCATTCCATGCATCCTGAATAAAAAACGTCCCAAATTACACTCACAAATTTATTTTATCGACAAAAAAGAAGCTACTCCAAACGTTCCCATCTACAAAACAAAGGAAAACAAATTCCAATTCTCCGCGACCAGTCCCTAAGAATGAGCAAGGTTTGGTCCCTCATTTCTTTCGTCGTCTCTCTCGTGGCCACACACACAATTCCCGCTAAAAGCCCTATTCCCAACGCTGTCATTAGGAAGTTAGTCACAAGCCATTAGTGTGAAAAGAGAGAGAGGCTATTTGCAATTCGCCTCGCTCAGTTCGCACAATGAAACAAGAGTAGAAGAACTGTTCACAATGCCCCTTGAAAAAGAGCTCTTTACAATAGGTGTTGATGAGTTATTTCGAAGGCTCAACAAAGTGATGAATCATCAACAGTCCACAACTCACCGCCCATTGATATCTTCGGTGTCGTCTCAATTCCGTATCTGAAGCCAAGGGCAAGGGCCCCTGACGTGTCGATAATTCTCGTATATACCAGCGTGCGGATCTTGCCCTTTGATTGCCCCCACTTATACCTCAATCCCATCACGACCAATGAGGATCGCCGACGTGGTGTCGACCAAGACCAGGTAATAGCAGGAGCATGGTAGTGCACCTGGGCCAGTAGAACAACCCCATCTATGGCACCCTCGCGCCTCAGTCCCCATTGTTCTCGCTGCCCCAACGACCAGTTCTGGCTTGACGCGACCAAAAATAGTGGTCGCGCTAACACGATCCCCTATGAAGGAACCGGAACCAACTGGCGAGCCCTCATACAGCCAGGTGGCCATCCTCCCTCGGACCTCGAAGAAGTGACCGGCAGACGTGATGGCAATGGAGCATGGAGCTAATCCCGAAGGTCCTCTTTCTCCCCTCTCGCCTTCCTCTTTCCTTTCCCTGCCTGCTACTTTTGCGAAGCAATCTCGACGGTCTACTTGGTCCCTATACGTCCTAATGGGGAGGGGTATGCTGAGTGGGTGGACTGTCAACAATGTGTCTCCCGAGCTCATGGTTCCTGCATCCAATATACAAATGCGGATAAATACTGGTTATGTCCCTTGTGCCGCACTGATAAAATTCCGACAGAAGCCCGATTTCTCGAAGCCACGTTGGAAGGGTTGGAAAAGACCTGATGACTTAGAAGGGCCGAAGTTTGGACAGATGTCGTCTTGATAGCTACGATGGTTGGGAACTCCCTCCGAAACTTCATTAAGGAGGACCGGAGGAGCGCCAATGAAAGGGTACGGGACTACCGATGGAATGAGGGATGGTAAGAAAAGCAGAAGACGGATGGTAGTGAGATTTGGATGTGTGTGCCACACACGTTCATGAGATATGACTTGGTTACGTCGGCCCACTTCGCCCTCCGAATCATGGAAGCGGCAATCGATAAAAACGAATGGTATTGGTCCAACATTCACGACGAGGTTAAATTCATCGTCTGAAACTGTCCCGTTTGTGTCGCCAACAAAGCGCCGATTTAGCTGCCTAGATCGATAGTGCCCACTGTAGTTGAACGGTCGTTCCAAAGGGTCAGCATGGATACCACAGATATTGTTGTGCCCCCTGGACCAAATAAATGCGAATATTCACTCGTTTTGGTATTTGTGGACGACTTTTCGAAATGGATAGAGGCATATCCGTGTAAGACGCGACAAGCGGCAGAAATCGCGCGGTATGTCAACCGTTCTCTCGGGATGCGCCAGGACACCAAGGATATCCTAACTAACAATGGGGCGGAATTCCGAGGGGAAGTCTTGAGGAGTCTGGTCCTACACGGAGTCTCGATTCGCAATACTGCTCCCCATATGTCGCAATCGAACGGACTAGTAGAAAATGCTAACCGGGTAATCAAGACAGCGTTACGGCGTAATATAACGGCCAAAGATACAAGGCCGTGGCCCGATATCGTCGACCATATCCTAGCTATTCATCGAGGGACACCCCACGAGTCCGCTGACATGTCCCCCTTCCAATTACTGACCAATAGTGTGGCTTGTGCAGCCCTACCGAGCCCAAATTATGAAACGAACCTCCCGCAACCGACCACTAGGGCAACGGTCAAAGACAAGGCCCAACGCCACCTGGAATTAATGGAAAAGGCCCTTCCCCGGCTAGCCCGAAAATGACAAAGAATGACTGAAATGGCCCACAGACGACAGGTCTGGAGCTACAAGGCCCGAAATGGGAACGCTGGACCACAACCTAAGTATAAGTTAGGGGACATAGTGCAAGTAAGGAAATGTGCTCGCCAGGGTAAGTTAGCGCCACGATTCTTCGGGCGATTTTGCGTGGTCGAGCTCGGTCCTAGCAGGGTGAACACTATGCATCTCGCACCAGAGGCGTCGACACTGTCGGGAAGTTGATCGGCTCGTCCAATCATTCGACACGTGTGCTACCTTCGCCCTCTCCCACCCTTCTCTGCCATCTTCCTCGCCATCACCCGATGACGAGGAGGAAGACGATCACCTCAACTACCTTGCTCCTTTCTTCTCAGCCCTCATCTTCCTCGCCATCGGCATGAGTTTTTCCACCGAGCAGGGCATCAGCGAGAGTAATGGTACCCGGGGGAACCTTCTCAAAATCTCTGCAATCCGGCAAGTACAACGTCCTCGATTGAGTCCAGATCTTCTCCAATTCGGGACCTTCTTCAGTACAACAGCCATTCACAAGGCGGCGGAGTTTCGATTCGCGCAGTCTGAGGCAGCGCGGGTATAGGCCGAGGTGTTGGCCTTCTTACTCCTGTCCCGACCCGGTGAGAGCCACATATCGGTCATTGTCGTCTTTACAGGCGACATCGCGACACTGCATCCAGCATGGCATACCGCAATCCTCCGACAGCTGCGAGACTGGGCAGCACACATCACGACGGAGTGGGTGCGATTACTAGCCAGGCCGCGCGATCTCATCTTAACGGCCAACGACATCGATCTCCAGCTTCGGGTTTCTTCCACCGCGCCGGAGGTCCTCCTCCCGGAGCTTCGTCCTTTCAATCGGCCTTAATAAACCGCTACCTCCTCTCTACCTTCAGTTTTCCTTCCGACACTCCTGCGTTTTAGCAGTCAACAGTGGACCCCGCTCTATCGTTCAGAATCAGGCAGTTAGACGTGCCGATTTTGGATGCGGCCAAGTGGGCACAGTGGTGGCACTCGTACGTGGCACTTAGCTTCTGCCTCCTCGAAGTCGTATTCCACTGGGCAGAGCCGGTTGAGAAGAGCGAGGAGGACGAGATCCCCGACAACGAGGTAGAACTATTGGTCATCCAAGTTTGGGTGACGGACACGGAGGGAGAGCTTTTGGGAATCCTGTTTGAAGAAGTGCGGGATGGCCACCTGGATTCGATCATGGATGAGATGTTGGTATTCCTGGCCCAATTGCTGGACGATCTGCCTTTGGAGATCCTTTCGGGCTGCGGTGAAAGACCGGGGATGGCCACGCTCACTCATACCTTGGCCGCCCATCTCTTGTGGTTTACAAGCACAGAGCTCGACGGGGATCATTGTTGTTATCCCTCCGAAGGCGCTTACCTGATCATCGACGTCACTGATCTCTCCTTCTGGGATCCTCTCATCCGCCGAGTGAACGTAGAAGACACCAGCGAGGAAGCCGAAGAGGAGGAAGAGGAAGCAGCCAAAGAAGAGAACGGGGGGGTGATCATCTTTAGTATACGGAAGGAAAGGAGACGCCAGAAGAGGAAGAATCAGAGGCTGACTCCGACGATCTTGATTGTCAAGAATTAGAGAACGCCGAGTCGGAAGAATCCAACTTTGACCGGGAGGAGTGAGAGGAGGAAGATGGTGAATCGGGTGAGTCGAGTGGCGCTGATGAACTGAGCACGAAAGAGCAAGAGGTCGTGGCGGAGAGGAAACGGGCAGCAGCAAAAGGCAAGCGGTCGATCGAGGAATCAGGAGGGCCACCACCACAACTGCTGCAGGGCGATCCGACTCTCAATCCGGAACCGTCACAAGAAGAGGCCGAGAGAAATGGAGGCGCCACGATAGAGGGATCGGAAAGCCGGCGCCGCCGAAGAAGTGAATCCCCGACCCAATCCTCTTCCCGGCCCAGCCTTCGGCTACGTCGAGATGAGGGCATTCGGACTTCGACCTCGGTCATTATCCCGTCGTCCCCGTCACTTCCTCACCCTTCAGCAGCTCATAGGTCGACCCTCATTCCCCGACAGATGGCATCCCTTCCCGCTCGTTCTGTTCCACCGTTACGCTGCCCGCCTCCTGGTTACTGTCTTCCCGCATGCTACCACTCGCTCGCTCGTCATTGTTTCCCCCCTCCACGTCCTTCTCTTTAGTGTGGATTGGCATGAATTCAATAATATAGAGCCGTTTGTATCATCGTGGGCACGATCCCAATGTGAGAAGCGTATGACGATTTTTGTGCTGCTATCCACCGCACCCTTTGCACGGTCTATCCCGATTACCTCGCCTCCCTCCGCCACTAACGTCGACACGGTGACACCCGCGTTTTCCCTGCATCCACCGTACGATTCATTACACCCAACTCCCCACTGCCGATCGACAAATTCGTCGCTTCATCCCTCCCCTCCCCCAAGTCCATCCACCACCTCCTCCGCCCGTGATCAGACTTCCTTTCCCAGGTAACGTTTAGAATGGAGCGCACGAATGCCACGTTGGATGACTTCCACACTCGGATCCTACGGTAAGTATCACGTGCAAGCTCCGCATCGATGATCGGATTACCGATCGACGCCTGATGAGAGAGCAAGTTGGAGCTTGCTCAAGATTGGAACCCCCTGGCATCACATATGTGACAAACTATTTTCTGCAATCACACGACTTTCTGTGCAAAGCGGCTTTGGGGGTTGGAAACAGGTTGGTCGAGTGGAAGATAAGGGTGGGCTGGACAAGTTGCATAGATACCCTCACTTTTTTCTTTTTTTGCTGTCGAGACCAGGGCCGAGAAAGTCCCGCGACGACGATTGAGTGACCTCGCCTTAGTGAGCACGATAAATAATGTTTGCCATAACTTCTTTCTTGTTCTGTTGTGAGGGATGAGAAGTTTGGCGAGATTAGCGCATGGAAATGTCATTTTCAAATTTGCAACAGATGACGGGCTCTTGAAATTGTTTCCTTAAGCTTTTTCGGAATTCCTTTTTGGAAGTAGGATTTAGACCAGGAATTTAGGCGCTCTGAAATCTTGCCGCGCCACGCTTCTTGCTCGCGCACCTTTCACTGCAGCGGGAACTCGGATCTGACTATATTGCGCCCTTAATCCTGCATGTAACTCTAATTTTTGGCGGGCGTGATTGTAACTGCACTCCTTCTTCTTCATTCTCTCGTTTTTCCCCGCCTTCTTCCCCTCTATCGTGCATACCTTGTCCTTCACTCTAATTGGCCTAAGCGACTGCATGACCGGATCAATGCGTGGACTGTGGCTGCGTCCCCCACGTCGAGGCCTGCCCATGCATGCGTAGGCACTTCCCTCTCTTCCCCTTCCCCTCACAGACTCACTTAGGCATGATCTCGGGTTCATCGCGCAAGCATGCACGCTATAAATTTCGCAAGCGCGATTAATTTACTCTCTCTTAATTTGGAAATTAGCGCGGTCAGTGAGGATTGACATAAGCAGGGGCGACCCGACGAGCTGGTGCCAAGTAGGCGGGGTTGACGTGCGGGCCACGGTGGACTGTAACGCACAGGTGAACCTGGCTTGCGTACTCGGACTAAGCGGGGTGACGACTCGGTGTTGGTGCGAGGCAAGGGACTGACCGCATCGGGGGTGATGTACCGGGGAGAGAGAGAGAGAGAGAGAGAGAGAGAGAGAGAGAGAGAGAGAAAGAGATGTGTGTGAGGGATGATGCCTTTAGCCCTCTATCTAAATTTTCATTTCAACCTTGGTTGATCTTGTTACGGCCTATGAAACACCCGTGGACGCGTCCGCGGGGTCGAGCTCGGATGGCGAACGTATATACGGCCGCGTCCACGGCCGACCTCGTCTGTGCCGCGGACGCAAATTAAGCATATTTTTCCTGAATTAAACAATGGGTAAAAAAAAAACAAAATATATGGGGTTGTAGGGATTTTCTATATTTTTTTTTTTGGAAACAGATAAGTTTTTAGAATAAGAAAAAATAAAAAACAGAAAACGCGGAGAAGA